TGGGTGGAATGGGAACTCTGCAGGCAAGTCAGAGCAGTGCTAGTGCCCTGGCCTCTGGCTCCAAGGAGGACAGAGCTGCCCCAGAGCAAAGTGTGGGTGGGATCCCCTCTGTGAAGTTTTGCAGTAGAAGCCCTGGCCACAATGGTCACCCTGCCACCCCCAGCCACTGGCCTGGGGTGGGCTCAGGGTTAGGGACAGGCAGGCTGGTGAAACCGAGGCACGCGGTGCCTCCACAGGCCAGCCTGGGACTGGCTCTTGGGGCCACCCCAGGGGCAGCAGAGCTAAAGATAGGGATCTTCACATCTGTGGGCACTTCCCCCTGGCCTGATGGGCCCTGAGGGGCTGACCAGGCTCAGTGCTGCAGGGAGGGGGCAAGGACCCCCTCAAACTCAGCAGGTTTTGGGGCTCAGTATCTCTCACAATGTCTTGACGGGGCTCTGGGACATCTCTTTCCCTGGGGAGAAAACAAAGTCCCAAGGAAACAGCGTGTGTGCCCTGGCAGGCAGGGCGTTCAGAGACCTGGGGGGATCCTCCCCAGCCTGTGCTGACATCTCTTTGTCTTCCCATGCAGGGATGGGATGTGCTGGGAAATCAGGCAGCGCTACCTCCCTGCCCAGGCCCCTGGACGCTTCCTGCTGAAGGGTGAGGGACACCAGGCTGGGGTGGCAGGGGAGCTGCTGGAGCCCCCCACTGCTGTTCTGGACAGGGCTTTGGTACCAGTGTCCCTCTTCCCAATGCCCTCTCAGTATCTTACCACTGGGATCTCTAGGTGCCAGATACCATCACGGGTGATGCCATGGGCTGGTGCCTCCTGGGGGAGCAATGGTGCCTGTGGGGCTGCCCCACTCTGGCCCTGATTTTCACCCCTTGTACACCTGGTTTATGATGAAACAATGCCTTGCATGGTGCCAGGGCTAAGCAGGGTTAACCGGGACTCACTGGACTCTCCTCTGTCCTTCTCAGGCCATGGGCACAGCAGCAAGGTGGATGTGGTGGTGGGTGAGATGGACCCCAGCAGCTTTGCCATCCTCTATTACCAGAAGGGCCGTAGCATCTCTGTCAAGCTCTATGGTGGGTCAAGGCTCAGGGGCTTGTGGCAGGTGAAGGACAGGGGTGGGAAACCCATGCTGGGCTCAAGGGATAGCAGCCGGAGCCTCAGAGGACCCAAACATGCGAATGGGGTCTCCTGAGGGTCACTCCCCAGCTGGACAATTGTCCCCAAAGGCTGAAGGGGGAGCTGGTGAAGGGGGAACCAGAAACCCACTTCTGTGAACTGAAAGACCCCCAGGGCCCTGAGCTTTGCGAAGGGACCTGGGGGGCTTTGGGACAGGGCCAGGCAGGGCCCGAGGCCGCTGGCAGTGTCTTCCCCCATGCAGGACGGACCAGCCGGGTCGACGACGCGGTCGCGGACAAGTTCGAAAAGCACGTGAGGGCTGTGGGTCTCAGTGAGGATGTGACCTACTACTTCCCCACCTACGGTGAGTGGCACCTGGTCCCTGGGGAGCAGGGGACCCCGTGGCAGTGGCTGCACCCAGGGGCAGAGCCTAGCATCAGGGGCTGGGGTCCGGCCCCTCCAGTGTGGGGAGGGGGAGGTACATCCCCAGGGGTCTGAGCAGCTCATGGCCCCGTGTCACCCACAGCAAGGGCACATGTGGGGTCTGTCCTCATGCTGTGGCCACCCCAGGGGCAGAGATGCAAGGACCAGGGCTGTGCCTCACAGTGTCCTGGGGGTGCAGGGTGGGGGGGTGCCAGGTCCCAGGGAGGGTGACCCCCTCAGGCTCTGTCTCTTGCAGGGTTTTGCGACTCCGCAGATGAGTTTCATGTCCTGGATGGTGAGTTGGGGATCCTGGGTGGTGCACTGGGACCCCCATGTGCTAGGCTTGGCCCCACACTGGGCACCAGTGGGGCGTGCCTGTCCTGGCTGGGGGCTGGGCACACTGGGCCAGACCCACACCACACCACAGCTGTGTGGTCCTGCCCCAGGAGCATGGGGGCACTGGCCTGGCAGGGGGCAACCATGCCAGACCGTCCCTCAGGACAGGGTCTCTCTGTGCCCTTGTGTGGGGTGAGGAGGTGGCAGAGTCACCCAGGATGGGCATGAGGTGCATCCTGGCAAAGCAAACCCCATTTAACCCCTACATGGCTCACACTGGGCTTGATGGGTCTATATTGGTGTTTCCTGGGATGGTCTGGGATGAGGTGTCCTGGCACAGGGACAGCCTGGGCTGAGGGTTGGGTCCCTGGAGACAGCTCCAGTACTTGTCATTGGTGTTTGGGAAGGCAGAGGTGAGTCTCCAGGCCAGGTGCTAGGCTTGGACACCCCCCAGCCCCTCAGCATTTCTCTTCCTTCCAGAAACAAAGCTGTAGGTGCAGATGGAGTTGCCGGGGTTTCCCCAGAGCTCACCCCTCACCTCATTTAGCTGCCCATGGCCACGCGGGTCTGAGCCGTGCTTTGCTCATCCCCCTCTGCTGCACCACAGCCCTGGAGCCAGCTCTGGGGCTCTCCAGTGCCTCCAGCTGTGCTGGCAGCTGCATCCATCCTGGTCCTGCACCCTCTCAGCTTGTGTCACCCCTGTGCTCTGTGCACCAGTGTCCTGCAGGAGCCAGTAACACCCCAATAAACACCTCAGAGAAGAGCCTTTGTCCAGGCCAGTCACCTCTTGGTCTGCCCCAGCCAGGCCAGCGCTGCCTCCATCCTGGGCTGCCAGTGCCCTGGAATCACAGCATCACGGAATATTCTGAGTTGGAGATGTGCTCCCAGCTGGGGGGTCCCAAGGGGGTGTTGGAGGACGTGCAACCCCCTTCCATACACCCCCCTCATACTCTCCCTGAGCCCTGTCCCAGCTATGGGACAGCGAGGCAGGAGTTGTGGTGGTTCCTGGGATGTGGGGCACGTGGGTCTGGCTGGCTGGGGCCGAGGGAGCACCCGGCACTGAGGGCAACAGCACCATGCCTGGCACTGTGGGAGGCACAGACTTGGGGGGCACTGGGGACCAGCACAGCATCTGCCTTTTCCCCCATCAAGCTGGGATATCCCTCAGGGGCCCCAGAGGAGGAAATCTCAGCCCCACAGCATTTCTCCTTCCCATCTCCAGGGCCTCCAGGGCAGGGAAACAGCCCATTCCCCTGCCCCAGCCCTGTGGAGCGCGTTCCCCGAGGGGAACCCCTGCCCACACAGCCAGCACCCCTTGGAAAGCCAGGCTGGGGGGTCTGGCAGGGCTTGGACCAGGGGTGCAATTAGGGGAGAGCCCCAGGGTTAATGCTGCAGCCCCTTGTGGGACCCCTCTTCCCTGTGTGTGGAGCCTGGCGAGTGGTGCCCATTGCCATTGGCTTCGGGAGGGGACGGGGAGCATCCCCACAGCAGGCAGGTGGGGGGTCCCAGCCCTCCACAGCCCCTGGGGCAGGCAGCAGCCCTCTGCCCCCAGCACTGGTGTTTTGCAATTGGAGCGGGAACTGGTAACACATGTTGTTTACCAGGGAATTATGTAAGGGACGCCACGTGATGTGCCCAGAGCCAGCCCTGTTCCCACCACCCACGTGGAGGTTAACAGTGTCCAGCCATGCTCTTAGACCCCCCCAGGCCACCACCTGAGGCTGGCAGAGCCTGGTGTGGTGGATCCAGCTCACTTTCTGCCCTGTGCCCACCTGCACCCCAGTGTGGCTGCACTGTGGCAGGGCAATGGGAGGCAAGGGGAGAGCCCTGGGGAGCTGGGCTGGTCCCCAAGGAGCCCACACGCCCTATGCCCACTGTCCCATCTCAGCTCATCTGTGGTGGGGGCTAACACCCAGGTTGTGTCCAAGAGTCTGTGTCCGGCCGCTGTGGGGACCCACAGCCTGGATTACTCCATCCTGCCCCCCAGCTCTGCTTATCCTGTGCCGTGCTGCTGTCGGTGTCCCCTTTGCCCCCACATGGCCCCACCTGCCCCCATGCTCCAGAGCTTGCACCCAGCATTGCCACCCAGGTCCTTGGGCTGGTTCCCAGCTTTGCCCCACCCAGGAGAGCTGGGAGAGTGGGCACCACCCAAGTATCCATCAGGCACCCTTTGCTGCCACCTGGGCAGGGAGCTGGGGGTACCCAGGCAGCAGGGGGGACTTTGTGTTCCTGCTGCAGTGTTGGGTGACAGTGACACCCCTGGGTGCTCCCTACCTCTGTGCCCGATGGAGAGAGCCCCCTGGGGAGGCTGAGTCCTAGCCCAGCATGCGGGGCCCCAGCCGGGCTCTTGTGATGCTCAGTCCTGCCTGGCTCAGCTTTTGTTTTGTTTTGTTTTCATAAATCCACGGGGCCGGGCAGGCGCGGGGGTGCACAGGGCAGGGTGGCCTCACAGCGGGGCGTGGGGAAGGGAATGTACAGGGGGGCCTGCCAGGGGAAAAACAGCTGTTGTGAAAACATTCTCCTTACGTAAAGCACCTTGGCAGGGCCGTGCGGGGCTGGGGTTCTGCCCGGCATGGCCAGCCCTGCCTAAACCCTGCCATACCCACGGGTGCTGCTGCTGGCACCCAGCATACATCCTCTGCCCTCACTCTGCCGGGGGCCCCCCAGATTAAGGGGGGACATCTCAGCGCCTGCTGGTGACCCCAAACCAAGGGGGAGGGCACCTCCAGCCCCTCTTGGCAAAGGGTGCAGAGTGGTGGGGCGGGTGGGGTGTGAAACTCTGGGGTCCATCTGGCTGCATTCTGGTCCCCGAGGAGCTGAGCATCTGGGCTCCCCAGCTTGCCAGTGGGATGAACCGGAGCTGCACCTTGGTGGGACACACCCCAAGGGTCCTGAGGCCAGCCAAGATGCTTCCTTGGGTGATGCAGGGACTTGAGTCGGGGCAAAGCAGGGGGTCCTACAGGAGTACACGCAGGTGTCCCCAAGTCCCATGGGTCGGGTTGGGACCTGGCAGGCACTGGACATTCCCTCCACTTCACTGGAGCACCTTTCTGAGTCCAGGTGAGGCTACCCTGTGCAGACTGGGCAGCCCTGGCCCCTGCCCGTGGGCAGCCCCCACTGCCTGCCCCGGCCCCGCGCCGCTGGGGCCAGGGACGGCCGCCGCTCCGGCCGCGGGCTGTTTTCACTGCGGAGGAGTTTGGCTCCCCGGAGCAAACACGTCATATCAACAGGAGGGCTGCATTCTCAGGATCCCCTGCCTGCCCTTTGGCTTCGGCGCTCAGCCCTGCTCCAGCTTGCATAACGGCACGGGGGGGAGGCAGGGTTGGCCCCTCGCGGGGGCCCCCGCACCGCCTGTCCATAAATAGGGGCTCGACGGACTCTCCAGCACTGCAGCGCTCTGCCTCCAGCTCTCGCTTGGCTCAGCTCAGCTCGGCTCGGCTCGACCATGCAGGCCACGCTGCTCAGCGTCCTGGGGCTGGCCCTGCTTGGGGCACTGCATGCCCAGGACAGCATTCCCATCCAAGCCGACTTCCAGCAGGACAAGGTGACCCATCCCAGCAGGCATCACCTGCGTGGAGGTTTGGGATGTTTTGGGGGATTCTTGCCCTGAAAATGTGTGGAGAGGGTGGTGCAGATGGATGTGGGGCCAGGCTGACACTGGGAGGGCAGGGCACTGGTGCCCACACAGCCCCCCATCCTGAGGACCTCCCAATACCTGGTTTTGGTGGCTCTGGAGGGGATCCAGCATCCCAGCTCCAGCCTGTGGGGCAGAACTATGGGTTAGATGTGGGTCTGAACTGCTGCTGTGCTGTAGAATGGGTGTGATTATTCAAGAGTCTTACAGAGAAGACTGAGAAAAGCAATCTCAGTCTGCGAGTCAGCATGGAGATGGGCCATGGAAACTACTCCCTGACAGAGACCCCAGTCAAGGGCCCCCAAAAAACAAGGGCTGCTCTGCTGAGGTGTCCCACGCACCGCTCTGCCTCTGGAAGGGTCCTGGGGGGCCACGGACACCCGAGGGGGGTGATGGGGATGGAGGCACTTCCTGCAAGGATGGGCATCTGGGATGTCCTGCAAGGGTGATCCCAATACAGCCCCTCTCCGAGGCTGGCAGTTCCCTTTGGAGGGCACCATGCTGCTGGCCCCAGGGACTGGGCTAGGATGAGCCATGCTGGACTCAGGGTCCTGACCCCTCCTTGAGCCCCCAGATGGACCGAAACGGCATCTCAGAGCCAGACAGTCCTGTCACCTTCCCCAGTCTTGGAGCAAAGAGGAAGGAAACACCCAAGTGCTGGGCAGTGAAGGGCACGTCATGAAACAGGGATTTCCTGGCCCCTGGGTTTTGTGGTTACCAAGAGCTGTAGCAGCTCCCTGGGGATGAGGACCCCAGGACACCATCCTGCTGTGGGCTGCCAGGGGAGAGAGACGTGGCCTGGGCTGGGGCTGGTGGGGGGCTGAGGGGCAAGACAGGGTCTGCACCCAGCTGGGGCTGAGTGGAGGTTGTGTGCAGCTCACGGGGAGATGGTACAGCATCGGCCTGGCCTCCAACTCTAACTGGTTCAAGGAGAAGAGGCACCTAATGAAGATGTGCACCACTATCATCTCCACCACCGCAGATGGAAACCTGGAAGTCACCTCCACCTACCCCAAGTATGGGTATGGGGAGGGGGTGAGTGGGGAGGGGGTGCGAGGGAGGGAGGCACTGGTGCATCGCCCCACCACTCTGACATCCTTGTGCTGTGCTCATGCTGTGTGTGATCAAAGGGGTGACCAGTGTGTGACAAGGAACAGCCTTTACACCAAGACGGAGCAGCCGGGGAGGTTCAGCTACACCAGCACCCGTGAGTGCCCCCTGACCATGGGGCAGCCCTGCTGTCACTATCCTTACTCCTGCCTTGGGGCGGATTTGGAGCCTGGGGCTGAGCCGTGCTCCCCTGTCCCCCACAGGCTGGGGCAGCAAGCACGACATCCGTGTGGTGGAGACCAACTACGAGGAGTACGCCTTGGTGGCCACCCAGATCTCCAAGAGCACCGGTCCCTCCACCATGGTGCTGCTCTACAGTACGTCTGCCCTGCGCCCCCATGCTGTACACCCCCCAGGACTTCCTGGAATGTCTATCTCTCCCACGGGAGAAGGGCAGCACCGTCTCCCAAGCTGGGGTGACCTCTGGGATAATGGCTGGGTCGGGACCCCCTTGCTGGACTGCCCGTGCCCCCATGCTGGCAGGTACGGTGGGGCTACCCCTCACCCTGCTCTTGGCTGCAGGCCGGACCAAGGAGCTGAGTCCTGAGCGCCTGGAGAGGTTCACCCAGTTCTCCAGGGAGCAGGGCCTGACGGACGATGAGGTCCTCATCCTGCCCCAGACAGGTGAGGCTGGAGGCTGTGGGGAGCAGGGGGTGAGATACCCCAAGGGGGCTGAGAGGGAGGAGAACCTGGCTTGTTCCTGCCTCAGTGTGGGGCCAGCTATGGGGTGCCCCCATACATGGTCCCTCGGGGGGGCTGAGGATGATCTCCCCTTTTCTTCCCCTCACAGAAAAATGCATGACAGATGCTGCCTAGGTAAGTCCTGCCTTCACTGGGGGTCAGACCAGCCCTGCAGGAGGGTCAGGGGTTTTCAGAGCCACTGCATCCCACAGAGCCCTCGCCAGCCCTTCCCTAGGCTGTTCCTCTCCTTACCCCTATGAGGGATTCCCCATCCTGACCCTGTGGGGTGCCTCAGGCCCTGGGTGGTGTGTGCTCACCCACTCAGTGTGGGGCTGGCCGGGCCAGTGTCCCCGCATGTGTCACCCTGTCTCCCACAGCTCAGCTGTGCTCACCCCCCATCTCTTCCAGGTGATCCCACCAGCTGCTGCCGGCCAGAGCCCTGACAGTGCCGCGAGCTGGTGACCACCCTGTCCCATCCCAACCCCAGTGCACCCCACAGCACTGCAGCAGCCTTCGCTCCCTGGCTTCACACCCCACACCTGTACCCCCATCCCCATTAAAGCCCACATAAAACCAACCCTCGTCTGCTGGGTTGCTGTGAGGAAGCCTCAGTGGGGCAATGGGGAGGGGGAAGTACGGCTGGTGGGGCTGGGGCTCGGTGTCAGGGCTGACCCCAGCTTTTAGCCATGGGGCCACTGGGCTGGGGCCCTCTGTGCACTAGCAGCCCCACACTACGGTGCTGCCTGACCACTAAATATGCCCCGTCCCAAGCAAAGGGGTCCCTGAGGCTGGGACCTACTGGGGAGATCTGCTCCCCTCTGCCCCCTTGGGCATCCTGGGCTCCCTCACCTTCCCTACCTTGGTTCCCTGCTGGAGAGCAGGCTGGCAGTGTGGGAATGGGATGACAGGCAATCATAGGGAGGTCTCCAAAAATTTGGGGAAGGATGGACATGAAGCAAAAGGACATCCGTGAGGGTTGGATGTGGCTTAGCTCTCACCACCCCCCTGGGCTCCATCCCATGAGCCTGGACCCTCTCCAGCAGCGGGGTGTGAGCCTGCTGCCACCAGCCTGGGAAGTCACCACCCCTTCTGGGGGCGCCAGGCTGTGGCTCAACCTGGGCTAAAACCACCAGCACAACCATCTTCTGGCACTGAGGATCCTGAGGTGGGATCCGTCCCATCACTGCCAGACCCTGGGACCAGCAGGAACAGCTGCGAGGGGGGCCCCAGGGGCAACTCAGCTCCCCCCTCCCCAGACAGAGCAGCAGGCATGGGGCAGCACCCAGTCCCGGTGTGCTCTGGGCAGGGTTTCACACAAGGCTGCATTCATTCGGGACCGGGCAACTGGGGGGGACAGGGCCAGCACTGTCACCTAACCCGGGTACCGGTTATCCCTGCTCTTGTGTAACCTGTTGCATAAAGGTAGGGCGGGCAGGGGTGCTGCCAGCAGTGGGGGCTATAAAGGTGGGTGCAGCCTCTCCTGCCCACATCCACCCCCAGAGCGAGGATGACGGTGGCACTGCCCAGCCTGGCGCTGGCCCTGCTCTGCCTGCTGCGAGCAGGGGCTGAAGTCCCCGTGCAGCCAGACTTCGACACCGAGAAGGTAACAGCACAGGGTGCTGCCAGGCACGTTCTGCCTGGGCTGGAGGGGCTGGGTGGGGCAGGGGGCCTTTGCTGCACCCCTGGGGACCCCCTGGTCTCATCCCTGAGCTGACACCAGGGTAGTTTCCAGGAGAGCCTGTGAAAAAATGGGTTAGTTAGGGCTGCTGTGTCCAGTGCCAGCAGTGACCCCACTGAAGGGACACCAGCACCTGAGGCTGTGATGTCCCCAAGCATGTAGCACTTCCCCAGGGAACATGGACCAGATGCCTCTCCTGCCCTCCTGGCATGGGGCAGGGCAGGGTGTTCTGCATGAAGGTAGCAGGCTGCTGTGTTTGTCTGGCTGGTCGCCACAGAGGGTAGCAGGTCCCCCACTGCAGGTTGGCAGATTCCTACAACAGGCTGCCAGGTTCCCCATGGTGGGGGACAGGTCCCTCTGGAAGGTAGCAGGTCCCCACTGCTTTCCCAAACCCCACCGGTGATGTCGTGCTGCAGTTTGCAGGGATGTGGTATGTCACAGCCACGGCTTCCAACTGCTCCGTCTTCCTGAAGATGAAGGACGGGATGAAGTCGTCCATCACCACCATCAGCTTCACACCAGAGGGGGATCTGGCCATGAAGTTGGTCTGGCCCCTGTGAGTGTCTGTCCCGCTCGCCACGTCCCCCGTGGGCCAGGGACTCCCCTCCCCACCACGGCATTTCCCCCAGACCCACCGCCCCAGAGTGCCCAGTCCTGCCTGAACCCCAGTACACGCCCCAGGCAGGCTGGGCTCCCTCCTGCACCCACCACCCCACTGCCCTCCCTCGTGACATCCAGCCACGTTTGTCATTTCCACGTTCCTTTTCCAGGCTGGGCAAATGCCAAAAGTTTGAGCTGCTCTTCCAGCAGAGCGGGCAGGCAGGGCACTACGTGGGTACGTGTGGTCAGGTGGGTCGGAGCCATGGGTACCCTGAAACAGAGGGTGGGCATCCCCAGCCCCCCATGCCTGGGGAGCAGCGGGAGGTGGGCTTGGCTGCTCTGCCTTCTCTGCTTAGCGAGGGGTCATGCTGAGGGTGGGCACCCAGCTCCATCACATTGCTCAGTGGGTCCCTCCTCATACTCCCCTCAGGCAATTTTGGGGCTCAAGCAGTGGGGCCCAGGAGGGCTCAGATTGTACCACATTGCCCAACTGGGCACCTCTGGTATCCTTTAGCAGCACAAGAGAAGAGGGACCTGCTCGTGATGGAGACAGACTACGGCCACTATGCCATCCTGCACGAGGCCCATCACAGCGAGACAGAGCCCAGCACCGCGCTGCAGCTCCTCAGTGGGTGTTGGAGCAGGGACAGGCACCCACAGCTCCGAGAAGGGAGGGGGGGCACCAATGGGGAGTGAGGGCTGGGCTCTCCACCACCACCCAGGGCCACCACCAGTACCCAATGTCCAGTACTCCAAGAATTAATTTTGGGGTGAATGAAACCTTTCACCAAAGATATCTCTGGTTGGTTGTGGATTGAACCAGACCTCCTTGCAGTGTGCCAGCCCAGCTATGGACCCCCAACCCTGCCAGCCACCCCATAGCACCCCAGGCAGATGGGTCACTCATCCCAAGGGGCTTGTGCCCCTTTGCTGCCAGCCCAGGGCACTGTGGGTTGCCTGATGTCCACTCTGCACCTTCATGGCTTCACCTTAGCCCTTGTCTGGGGCCCAATCACTGCCCTGTGGTAGCTGGACTCCTGGGGTGGGGCTGGCTGCCAGGACCCCTTGCACTCACTAGCCCCCACTTTGCATGTCTGGCTGCAGCAAGGGAGCAGGATGTGAGTCCCCAGCTTCTGCAGAAGTTCACGGAGCTCGTCCCCACCATGGGCCTGACCAAGGACATGCTGGCCATCCTGCCCGAGTCGGGTGAGTGCCCTGAAGGCACGGGGTGGCACATGTGGCCCCTCTGTACGGGGACACTGTGTGGGGGCTTAGGGTGCTGCCCGTGGCACACTCACTCCTCTCTTTGCTTTCCAACAGACCAGTGCACCAAGGCCATCAGGTGAGTGTGTCCAGGGGAAGCCATGACTCACTCCCAGCACAGCCAGGGCTGAGCAGGCACTCACGGCCCACTGGGGGCCCCCCACCTGCCTTGGCTTTGCCTCTGCGTCACCTCAGCTTTGCCTTGCTCTAACCACTCGTCTGTCTATCCTGTCTCTGCAGCTAAAGGGCCGTTGTGTCCTCCAGACTTGGTGGACACTGGGCTCTGATCCCCACTCTGTGGTGCCCCCTTCCCATCCTTCCCAGCTGAACTCTGCCGGACCCCCTGCCCCACACCAGGATCACCCCTCGACCTCCTAAATAAATAGATGCAGAAGCTGTCCCAGAGCTCAGTGCTTTGTTGGTGGGAGCAGGGTTGCTGCCAGGGTCCCCAGGCACCCTGAGTGCAGTGGCCCTGGAGCTGACCCTTCCTGTCAGCCCCCCAGGGGTGTTGGGGGGCTCCTGTGCTGTGATGTTTGGTGTGCCCAACATGGGGAGCAGAGGGGATGGGGAAGGTGCAGCTGCCAGGGCAGGGGAGAATGGAGCTGGGGTGACCAGGGGCTGGCACAGCTTGTCTGGGGGGGCAGCAGCTCCGGGCAGACAGTGTTAAGCAGTCAGGCTGTCCAGCACTGCCTGCAGGGACACACGCAGGACACCGCATTCCCTGCTCAGTCCCCTCCCAGGCCACCTAGCTGGGAGTGAAGCTGCCCATAGCAGGCCTGGAACACCCATGCCTGTCTGCCACCCCTCTTGGTCCCCCATCTGCCCACTGACCAAAGTAGGACCATGCTGCCACGAGCCCTGCGGGCGCTTTTCATCCCACTCCGCCTCCTGCGGAGTGGAGGCAGGCCCTGGTCCCTCCCACTCCCTCCCTGCCTCAGGGTGGAGGTCCTTCAATGCCCAGGCAGGTGGGGCTGTGACCCCAGGAGCCTGACAGAGCAGGGGCACAGGGGACATCACACTGTGAGAAGGAGGGACACAGTCTCACAGTGACATGAACCCGTTCTTCTGCCTGCCCTGCTCCGGGTGCACCCTGCCTTGCAGGCCCTGAGCACCTCAGAGCAGGTGGGGAAGCCCGTGCAGGCACCACGGGTCAGGTTGTGCCAGCAGCACGTGGATGGTTGGGTTTGGCAGGATCCCAGCGGCTGCCTCGGGGCAGGTTCCAGCCTGGCCAGAAGGACGGGTCACCGTGCCCCTTGGTGGGTAACGGTGCTGCCCCTGGAACCTGTGCTGGGAAGAACCTCCTGCTCCTCCCAGCAGCCTTCCGGCAGCCAGTTGGAAAACAACAGCTCGCTTTGTTCTTTCACAATCCACTAAAGAAATGGGGGAAATCCCAAATTTCAGCAGTGGTGCAACAGTTCCTGTAACTCTGTTTTGGGGCTGGCAGGCACTTCCCCCCTGCCCCGGGGGTTTGTTCACCCCTGGCTGACTCCTGCCCTTCCGAAGCTCTGCCCCCCCCCCACCCCCCCCTCCCCCCGCCCCTTGTCCAAGCCAATCCCAACAGTGCAGCCGCGGCTCCGCATGCAGCAAAGGGGGAGGGGGGGGGGGGGGGGGGGGGGAGGAGGAAAGCACTGAGATATAAATGCGGCAGCCCCAGCACCACTCCTCATCCCACTGGTGAAGCCAGAGGAACTAAGGTGACATGAGGACCGTGGGGCTGAGCCTGGGCCTGGCCCTGCTCTGCTTGCTGCACGTGGAGGCTGAGGACCTCGGGGCTGGGGAGTTGGACACGAGCAAGGTGATCTGCAGCATCCCGGGAACAGAAGGTGGGAGGGTGGACTCTGGTCACCAGCAGTCAGGGATGACTGTAGAGGTGTTTTGGTACTGGGAACAGCTGGGGACACTGCAGCCACCATTGCTTTGCTGTCACATCCAGGTGAGGGTGGTCACCCAGCTCCAGCATAAGTGTCCCTAAGGAGACTTTGTTGCCTGGAAGGGATGTGGGTGTCCCATGGACTGAGGGTGTCCTGCCTTGATCCCTGAGGAGGTGACACTCCCAATTGCTCCCACAGACTCACAGTCTGCTCTTGCTACCAGATTGCAGGGAAATGGTACATCACTGCTATGGCCTCCGACTCCGAGAGCTATCTCCAAAGGAAGGACCAGCTGAAGATGGCGATGGCCGGCATCGAGGTCCTGGGGAAGGACCTGAAGGTCTCCTTTGCAATTCCCACGTAAGTCCCACATGCTTTACTTCACAGGTTTCACTGACCAACCTCCTCTCTTGACCTTCATCGATGGGTCCCCACCTGAGTGAACCCACCAAAGACCTGACCAGGGGGTGAGGCAGGACCACTAGGGGCTCAGGACAGGCACCCCTTCTTCAGGGCAGACTCAGGGCAACGCCAGCCAGGACCCATCAGAGGGTGGGATGCTCTACTGCTGAGGGATGCAGAGGGGTAATAAGGGACCCTATGGTTGAAACCTTCCTGGCAGTACCAGCCTTATCCCAGAAGCTCAGAGCATGAGCAAGGGCATGGATGATCCCCAGGTACCAGCACTGTCCCCTGCCAGCCCAGGTGCCCATTGCTCCAAGGGTGGTGGTATCTATCCTCTCCTGCCCCCCCCTCCATACCATCTCATCCCTGAACAGCGAGTCCCACTTTTGGGGTAGCTACTCCAGAGCAGGGAAGGGAAAAGGAGTCACTTCACTGTATGCTGGAGCATCCTTCACTGTTTTGCAGCCCAGAGAGATGTATGAAATTTGAGTCGATCTACAAGCCAACAAGCATTCCGGGTGAATACTACAGCTCTGGTGAGTGGGGGGAGCCTGGCTCTCGGGGCAGCGGGGAGGCACGTCCCATCATCCCTGTCTGAAGCAGCTGGTTGTTCCCGGTGACATGGCCCTTAGGACTGCCTGCCCCTCCTGGGTCCTGGGTGGGACATCCCTCTGCGTCCAGGTGCCAGCTGCACTCCAGGGCCAGTCCGTGTCAGGGCTAGTGACACAGCAGATGGCAGAACCCCCCCAAATCCTCCCTCTGGGATAAACACATTCACACCCAGCTTAAACCCTGGGGAAAAGCAGGTTCATTCTGCCAAGGGGCTGTGGGTGAATGTTCTCAGGGGATGAAGCAAGGGGTTGTTTCCCACCATCCCCACCCCAAGGGTCAGTCTGACACTGGCCAACAGCCTGCAGTGACCATCCTTGGCCCTTCCTGCCCTCACCTACCCATCCCTCTGCTCTGCTGCAGTCTGTGGGCTCCCCCAGGCTTTCAGAGGAGCCTTAACAAGAGGGAAAACCAGGACAGAGAGACACCGAGGAAAGACAGACTGGGTGGGCTTTACACTCTTATAGCCCCTTTGCAGCATGGGGGTTTCCAGGAGGAGGTAATTAATTTTTCTCCATGTCCTTTTGCAGACAGAGGCAATAAGACAGCACAGCTGGTGGATACCGATGGCAGGACCTATGTGATTATCTTTGCCACCAGAGAGAAGGAGGGGAAGATCTTGCATATGCTGAGACTCTACAGTGCGTAGCCAGCGGTGCTGCAACAGGGGTGAACCACTCAGAGGTGTCAGGGTGCCTGCAGGCCAGGAGTCAGGGGACAGACGCCCTCCTCACTTCTGCCCTGGGTGGGGCACAGGAGCAGGGCTGGGGCTGCCGTGTGCCTCCCATGTGGCAGGGAAGAGATAGCGATTTGGGGTGCAGGGGAGGCTGGGGCTCAGGCTCCTGCACTGTGCTGGGAGTCCGTGGCCTTGGGTAAGTCGTGTGGTGAAACAGGGTGAAGAGTGGGGGTTCTGCTGCAAGGTGGGGCAGAAACAGCAGGGACACAAACCTCTGCCTTGTCTTGTCCCCTGGGTGGGGTGTCTCATGTGTCTCTCTAGGACCTCTATCAGTGCCTCCAGCCTTCTTCCAGGGACTGCCATCCATCCCATCCTTGTGCTCGCCAGATGCCCAGGAGATGCAGTGACAGGTACAGCCTGGAGCTAACTCGTGTCTTTGTCTTTAGGCAGAACCCGGTGGGTGAGACCTAGAATCACAGACCTGTTCAAGACGTTTGCCAAGATGGAGGGCTTCAGCGAGGAGATGATCTGGATACTACCCAGACAGGGTGAGCACTACCCAGGGGCGATACAGGGACGTGCAGGCTGGGATCACTCAGCCTATCACAGCCACCACTTTGTGGTCTGAGCTGGCATGAGAGAGTGCTGGCAGCCAGAGGTGCTCTGGCTTGGCACACTGTGGCTTTCTCCTTGCTCAAGTTCATTCTGGGTTGTCTATTTTGGGTGCTAAATCGGGCTAGTCAGACCACAGCACCGGATTCAGGCTTTCTCTTTACTTTCACAGACAAATGCAGACTTGATGGACCATAGGTGAGTTGCTGCAGTGCAACATGGTGTTTGCAATGTCCTCCTCTGGAAACTGTCCCTCTTGGTGCCCCAGCAAGGACCACCAAGAACTCTTTGAATTCCTCTGAGCTTGAGCTGTTTGAACCTGTGCTGGAGCTTGTACTCAGGTAGGACCATTCCCTTGGGTGCTCCTCTGCAGTGGGGACCCCCAGGGAGCAGTGCCCGGCGCTGAACAAGGTCATGTGAGCCGAAACCACTGCATCAGTGGAGAACCAGTTGCACAGCCCCTCCAGCAGTGAGGGCCAGGACACCTGGCTCCTGCCAAAGGGACCTTGGGCTCATGGACCTGCAAACCTGGCCAGAGTGGGTTGGTGTCTCACCACACGAAACGTGCTTGCTGTTGGCCCACCCTGGCATGTGCTTTGCCACCACACCAATACACACACAGCTGTAGGCGTTAACTAGAAATCCATTGCTGGACGTAGCTCACGCTACAGAGATGGGGAGAACTGGAGAAGAACTCAGTGATCTCGATGGAGAGCCCCACTTGGCCTTGCCTTACTCAGCCTGCCTCTCCTGGATGTTTTCCAGGAAGCGTGGGCTGGCTCGTGGATGCTCCTCCCAAGCAGTGCAAGACCCACACTTCGAAGCTCCAGGCTGCTGTTCCACCAGCCCTCTTCCGAGCTCCGTGGTCAAGGCTTTGACACAATCCCTGCTCCTCCAAGCACACAGTCCCTACTTTTTGCCAAATAAAGAGAAACTTAACCCAGATCTTGGTGTAGCTGTCTGAGGAGAATCCAGGGTTCCGGGGTGTGTGGTCCCCCACTGTTGTCCTCCCAGGGGCTGTGAATGGTGAGCAGCCAGGAGTGATCCCAGGCTGAGCTCACCCAAGTGAGGGAAGTTTCAGACCTCACAGGATTTTCCCTCCTGGGTGCCTCCCATGGGGCAGGACCAGGCCAGGTAGAGGTGAGGTAATGAGTGCAATGAGGCTGGGAATCCCGTGGGCGTGAGGGGCTGCATGGAGAAAGGTCACAGA